GCATGCTCACTGTATGAGACCTTTCAAGATTTACTCCAGGAGCGGGGCAGCCCCTTTCTCGAATCTAGCACCCGAAACCCTAAACCCTAAATCCTAAACCCTAAGCCCGAAACCCTGAACCTTATTTTTTTTTTTACTTCTGCATGCTGTGCTTTTTCCTTAATCCTTAAACCCCAACTCTAGACCCCAGCCTTTGCCCCGTACTATGTTTCATGATAATCTGCTTCCCCTAATGATAACCCCCCATATACTACCAGTACATATGGGGGAATGTTTGTTATTAGGGAGGGTGGGGCTTTATCATTAGGGGGAGATGATTACTTACTTGATGAATCCCGCACAAACCTAAACTTAAAGCTGAATAAGGCTGGGCGAAATTCGTGATGGTCCCCTGGTTTTGCGGGAGGTTCTTCTGCCTGAAGCCACCAAAATCTCCGTAAAGCAGGGCTGGGAATCTGGGAACCCTCTGACCAATCCGAGCTCAGGTCCATGCTTTTTGTATGCGGCTAGTGGACTCGGATTCTATGCGGAAATAAAATCAGTTTTGATTACCGTAAAGAACGCCAACTGAAGTCCACACCCTGTTGTCTAAACTCCTAGTATCCCCCTTACTAACCCGTACAATACTCCCCTATATAATGTCCTGTATAACCCCCCTTTGAGGAGTTTAGACCCCTAGACCCCAAACCGCAAACCCGAAATCCCAAGCCGTAAACCCTAAATCCTAAACCCTAAATATTCCCTATATAACCCACCTTTAAGGAGTTTAGACTATAGCTCATGTCATGATGGAAGGCGGCCTCAGTCTTAACACGTGTGAGGTCGATCTTCCACGCCTGACTCTAGCTCGCAGGGCTTAGGGCATGGGGAGGGGGGCATATATGGTTTAGGCTCTAGGATTTGGGGTTTAAGGGTTGTGCCTTGAGTTAAAATCTAGCCGTTGCTTAGATAGAGCTTGGCGTCCTGCCCAAAATGGTTTAGCCCAGTGAGTATTTCCAAAATGAAAATTAACGAATTCTATAGGGGTTATATGGGCATTATATTGGGGCAAAATAAGGAGAATGGAAAAGAACATGGAAACTACTATAATAGGGTAATTAACCAGGGGTGAAGCTGGCAGGTTAGTCCGATGATCTTATGCCATGTCAGTTCCCACGAGACATGGTCTTCTTTCTGCCAGAAGCTCTACGATCCAGAGGTCTATGACATTCCTACAGCAAGCTGTTGCCAAGAGCCATTGCTTCATTACGTCCTTGTTCCCAGGATCTCTTTGCTACTCCTCTTGAGACTGCCAAAAAAACATATGAACCATACTCTAAACTCCTAGTATCCCTCTTTATAACCTCTATAGTAGTCTCCTACATAATCCGCTATTTAACCCTATAAAGGAGTTTCGAGCATGGCTCACATACCTCAAGACTTCAGGTTTAAGCGTTTGCAAGATTCGTGGCATAAGTGAGTTGGCTGCCAGCGAGGTTACATATGCTGCTGCTCTTCACGCCGCAGACTGCATGTGTGAGCCCGAAAATGGGACTGAAGTTTCGATGATCACAGGTGGTGGGGATTTCCCAAAATTAGGGGTACCTTTTTGGGCATCCCTATAAGGATTATCGTATATTGCGGTTTACATTTTGGAGTCCCTTAATCTTGGGAAGCTACCTTGTATTTTCAACCTTGAGCCCGCCTTATTAAAGCCATGTGCCTGACTGGACTTGTCCACAAGTTTAAGGATTCGAGTTTATTGGGATAGTATAGGGATCATAATATTGGGATGATGGGAAAGAAAATGGAAACTACTCTTTGGCTCAAGTTCCTCTCCCTCACAAAAACTTAACTCCAAATCCCAATGCTTACCTCTCATGACGGTAAACACCTACAGTCCCTCCCCATCTTCCCCGAGCCTTAAAATCCATGGTTCGCCGCCTGGATCATGGGAGGTTTGACCAGGACTCTGAAACGCCCGCCAGGCAGTGAGGGCTTGGGGGCAAGGACTTACTAATGGTTAGTAGAAAAATAAGGGAAGAAGAAAAACAAACCCAGATGATACCCATAAGATGTATTCCCTCATTCCCAGTACGATGAGGCAAGGATGCAACCTGGGTTACACAGTACAGCAAGAGCAGATTTCGGCTCGCAACTGGTCTTTACTTGCTGCAGAGGGCAGGCCGGCAGTAGAGACCATTCGGGACTTTGTCAACAGGCGGAGCCGGAAGGGACCCCAGGGATATGTAGGGATTATAGTGGTGCTTTGGGGTCCTTGCTGGAAATTATGTAAGGGATCTATTGAGAAAATCTAATGTAATCACTTCCGAACATGCTGCCGATTCGCGTGCTCAATTGAAGCCTGCTGCGCCGTATGTTGCAATTCTAAGCATCTCAAACCAGTAGTGCTAGCAACCAAGAAAATCTGGGTTGCTGTGAAGGCACTTAAATAAGTTGCCATAACATGGGTATATAGTGAAAACTGCGGTTTCCTTGTAGTAGTGAATTCCTGAACAGCCACCCAGAAAGTGAACGTATAGTGCATCCTTGGTGCTTCTCCAGGGTCGGGTTCGTGTTGGGGCTTGCGGACTTTGCTCCCTTCTCACCAGGAATGGTTTATGTTCCTTTTCGATGCGTAGGAAGAAGGACGATAACATCTGTCAGAAATACTACTGCCCCATAATTAAACTTAGGCATTCATGATGTTAAGCCGGGCTGTACCTATAATCCAAGTACAACCTACGCAGCTGTACCTGCCAGAGCCGTTCTTGCTCGGTGAATTTTGTCATTGTTGAGATCAAAAATCCTTCATGACCTGAGTATAGTATAGCACCATAACTCCCAAGGTTTAGGATGCTTAGGGTCATGCAGGATTTTTAGTATCCATCGTAGCTTGGTTCGGCGAATGTGAAAGGAAACATGGGGTGGTCTTGGTCTGTGGCTGTTCGGTCAAGGGTATTCCCAAGACGACTTCACCGTTCAGCAACAGCATCTTCAAAGGTAAATGTCTTGGGGTGATCTGACTCTCCGCCTTCAGTAGATAGAATGTAGGGTTTAGGGTTTAGGGGTTATAGTCCCCCTTAAGTAGATAGAACAGCTTGCTATCTCAATTCTCAATGCGCCTGGACTAAATCCAAATGTCCACCTCGCCACACCCGCCTGAGCTTGAAAGCAAGCACCCGAAACAATACCATCATCACCCATCTATACACCTATTCGAAGCATTTCGGCCCTTACGTTCTTCAACATTCTTGAGACCAACGTCCCTACATCAAGAGCCCACAAACACATTCAGCCACACCCCCAAAACCATGAACTCCTTACCTCAAAGCTCACCACACTGAAACCTGCTTTCATGCCGTTGTTAAATTTCTTTGTTTTTTTTTGGTTTGGGGGTTTAGGGTTACGTCTCCAGAATCCAAACCCGGCAAAGCCCTTTCCTCTTCTCGCGCTTCATCTTGACCTTCCGACACATGCGCATGTGTATCCATAAAAGTTGGGAGGCTACGTCTAAGAATATGTGTGTACGCCCTCAACCCTAAGCCCTAAACCCTAAACGAAAACCTGGGCTGTTTCATACATGTGGGCTCAAGGTGTAGCATCAACTTGAACTCGGGATCTAGATGCCCTCTGCTTGCAGTATGAACTGCCGGCTTGGGGTAGCCGGTTTGTGGCGTGATCTTGTTGGAGAAATTTCCCCTCCGATTTGTTGCAGGCACTTCTGAAAACATACCAAGAAACGGTCACCGGTAAAGGAACATGGCTAAAGTAACATGACTGTAGGCACGTGTTCAGATTCCGCAGTTTAGAAAGATCCGCTATAACAAATCTTCTGAAAAGCAATTCTCAAGGCCAATTTTACAGAAATCCTACTGTTTGAGATGAATGAGGAGTGATCTCGGGGAGCCTTTGCAGCTCTAACGTTGAACACGTGGCCTTCTCCTGACTTAGCCCCAAGATGCCCGAAGCCTGTAGATTCCTCAAGGGCAAGTTGCAAAAAGATCCTCACAGTTTTTCTTAGAAATCTCAATCTTTGTCTCTCCTTCTAGACTTCAAGCCAGCAGGTCACTGGGTCCCTAATCCAGGCCATGCAGGATCGAACAGCTTTCTCAAGACATCCTGATTGGAAGGATTTGCCCCAATATAGACCCCATATGGCTTTAAATGCTTTTATATGGCTGAATGCCTTTATATGGTTTAAATGCCTTTATATGGCTTAAATGCCTTTACCCAATATGCTATGGTCCTTTAGAGGGAACCTCCTCCGCTCCTTTTTTGCCCTGCTTCGGAGGACCCTTGGGGGGGGGATGCGGAAAAAGGAAACAGCAATCTGATCTGTTGAGAGGTTGACAGGGCGACTTGGGGTTAACCACTCCTCTATATGGGGGGTCATACTGGGATAATGGAAAATGAATGGAAACTACTATATTATAAGAGGGGTTATTTATGGATTATGGGGTATATATTGGGATTATATACTGGGATAATGGAAAATA